GCCTCATTAACGTAACACAGACAACTCATTCCCAAATGGGATTACAACCACAGGAATAGAGGTTAGAATTTACAACACACATTTCTGGAGGACGTAATTTAATCCAGAAGAAATTCAAAATCGGTTCCAGCAGTACATTGACAGAGAACTGCCAGAAATTCAAGCCGAATTTGGAAGAGGATGTGGAACCAGGGATTTCATTGCTGATGTCAGATGGATCCTGGCTGAAAGCAGAGAATACCAGACAGATGTTTACCTGTGTTTTATTGACTATGCTAAGGCATTCGACTGTGTGGATCATAACAAACTATGGATAACATTGTGGAGAACTGGAATTCCAGAACACTTAATTGTGCTCATGAGGAACCTGTACATAAACCAAGAGGCAGTCTTTGGAACAGAACAAGGGGATACTGCGTGGTTTAAAATCAGGAAAGGTGTGGGTCGGGGTTGTATGCTTTCACCATACTTATTCAATCTGTATGCTGAGCAAATAATCTGAGAAGCTGGACTATATGAAGAAGAACGGGGCATCAGGATTGGAGGAAGACTCATTAATAACCGGCGATATGTAGATGACACAACTCTGCTTGCTGAAAGTGAAGAGGACTTGAAGCACTTACTGATGAAGATCAAAGACTACAGCCTTCAGTATAGATTACACCACAACATAGAGAAAACAAAAATCCTCACAACTGAACCAATAAGCAACATCATGATAAATGGAGAAATGATTGACGTTGTCAAGGATTTCATTTTACTTGGATCCACAGTCATCGCTCATGGGACTAAATAGTGTAGTCACAGAACTTTCATATGGAGAGGAAGTTAAAGTGATATAAAGAAATAAAAGGTTGGTTTAAACTTAGAAAAATAGACGTACATATTAAGGTAACCACGAAGGAAACTAATCTACACATTAAAATAAAAAAGAAGAAAAACATAAAAGACTTAGCAAACACAAAATCAACAATGATGAAAAAGATGAAAAGAGAATACGATAAAGAAAAATGACTCAGTACAGAAAATTAAGTGGAACAAAGAAACTGTCAACAACACACAAAAAATATGGCAAAATGACAGCAGTAAATTCATACCTATCAATAATTACACTGACAGTAAATGGACTAAATGCACCAATAAAGAGACAGAGAGTGGCAGAATGGATAAAAAAACATGATCCGTCTATATGCTGCCTACAAGAGACACCTTAGACTCAAAGACACAAACAAACTAAAACTCAAAGGATGGAAAAAAATTACCAAGCAAACAACAATCAAAAAAGAGTAGGAGTGGCAATATTAATCTCTGACAAATTAAACTTTAAACCAAAATCCACCACAAAGGATAAGAAAGGACACTATATAATGATTAAAGGGTCAATACACCAGGAGGACATAATCATAATAAATATTTATGCACCCAACAGCAGGGCTCCAAAATACATGAAACAAACTTTAATAGCATTGAAAAAAGAAATAGACAGCTCCACAATAGTAGTAGGAGACTTTAACACACCACTTTTGGTGAAGGAAAGAACATATAGAAAGAAGCTCAATAAAGACATGGAAGATCTCAATGCCACAATCAACCAACTTGATCTCATAGACATATACGGAACACCCCACTCAACAGCAGTCAAGTATACTTTCCTTTCCAACACAATCAATTCTCATGGAAGCAGTAGTCGAGAAATCAAACGACGTATTGCATTGGGCAGATTGGCTGCAAAAGATCTCTTTAAAGTGTTAAAAAGCAAACATGTCACTTTGAGGATTAAGGTACACTAGATCCAAGCCATGGTATTTTTAATGGCCTCATATGCATACGAAAGCTGGACAATGAATAAAGAAGACCAAAGAAGAATTGATGCCTTTGAATTATGGTGTTGGTGAAGAATACTGAATATGCCATGAACTGCCAGAAGAATGAACAAATCTGTCTTGGAGTGCTCCTTAGAAGCAAGGATGGCGAGACTTTGTCTCATGTACTTTGGACATGTTATCAAGAGGGACCAGTCCCTGGAAGGACATCATGCTTGGCCAAGTAGAAGGTCAGAGAAAGAGAGGAAGACCCTTAATGGATGGATTGACACAATGGCTGCAACAATGGGCTGAAACATAGCAACGATTGTGAGGATGGCGCAGGACAGGGCAGTATTTCCTTCTGTTATACATAGGGTCTCTATGAGTCGTAACCGACTCGATGGAACCTAACAACAGCAACTCAATCCATTTAACAGATATGGAGAAGGAGCCACCAGGGAGGCAGGAGGGAAACCAGGAGAGCTGCATCGCGTGAGATGTGTGTGTGTGTGTATGTGTGCAGGGAGAGTTTCAGGATAAGGGAAGCACTACCAGTGCCTAGGTCAGGCTGATAAAGGCAAGGCTTGACAGTGGCCACTGAATCCAGAGGAGGCTGGCCAGCTTGCAGTGGCCTTGAGTAAGAGAGACAGCGAAGAAGTGGGGTCAGCGAGTGTAGATGACCCTTCCTCAGGCTCGACTGGCGACAGGCTGCATCTGTAGGGGGCTGGAGGCATTTTTAGACTGAGAATGGCAGGGGAGAAGTATCCAGGAAAGGGGAACAAATGGAACTGAGCTCCAGAACCAGCTGGGGATGGGTCCAGAAAACAGAGTGGTGTGGCCGTGAACTGAAAGTGCAAATTCTCCCTGGGACTGGCTGGGTGGTAAAATCTCTGGGGTATGTGTGTGTGCAGGGGCGGGGCGGGGGGGGGGGCTACTGTGATTTATTCATCAAACATTAATTGAATGCCAGGTGATGCCTAGAGCTGGGGATTCAGAGGTGAACACACTCTATTACCCTGATTCCTGAGGAGGCCGCAGAGGTAGAAGGATGTGAGATGGGAACCTGGCTCTCTTCCTCTTCTGGGGTACTCAACCCTCTTAAGCAATCCAGGCTACGACACTCCTTTATGGGGCTTGGGAGAGGCTTTGTCAGATAGATGGAGGAACCATTTCTTCACCTTGCACACAGGCAATCCTCATCCACTACTCACCAAGCCCCCCGTTAGGCAACAGTGGGGGCTGAAGCAATGCCCCGGCCCACACCCTAGCAGATTGCCAGCGATGGGGCAGGTCAGGAAGGCCCCTGTTGGGCCTTTGCATCAGGCTCAGGCTGGGCATATAGGAAGCTCCTGTGGGCTGGCGGGAGGCAGATTTGGGGACCATGGAGACCCAGAAGGGCAGCACTTCCCTGCAGTGGTGGTCACTGTTGCTGCTTCTGCTGGGCTTGGTGGTGCCTCCAGCTGCTGTCGAGGCCTTCAGCTACCAGGAGGCCGTGCTCCGCGCTGTGGACGGCTTTAACCAGCGGTCCTCCAATGCAAATCTCTTCCGCCTCCTGAAGCTGGACCAGCAGCCTGATGGAGTGAGTTGATGGGGGACTCTGCTCTAGCCAGGCTTGGTCTCACTGTCACTCCTGGTCCCATGTCCTAGCCTTTGCTCATGTTGTACCTCTTGCCAGGAAGGCACTTCCTCCCTTAAGTGTGGTCCCACCTCCTCCAGGAAGACTTCCCAGAACTGTGTCCTGCATGAGAGCTTCTGACCTTAGAATTCCTGCTGCTTGCAGAGGTGGTCCCTCTCCCCCAAAGGGGTACAGGAGTTTCTGGGAGCTCCTGGGACAAGGGTAGGTCATTGGATCTGGAGGGGAGTGACTTCCCCTGCTTTAAATCTCCTCTGTACCCCATTATCCCCCACACAGGGAAGAGATCTGCCCAACCTTGAGGATCTAGTGCAGATGTCTTCACTTCTGGGAAGCTCCCTGATTTCTCTCAGCCACCCCATAGGGGGAGGTGCTCCTCATTAGAGCTTGTCTGTGGTCTGCTCCCACTCACTTGACACTGGAGGAGGGCAGGAATGGGCTCTGTCCTCCTCACTTCTGTGCCCCAGCACCAAGCCCTGTGCCCAGCACACTGCAGGTGCTGTTGAAAGGCTGCTCTCTTGGTGTGGGGAAGGGGAAGTCAGGGAGACAGAAACCAGGTTCACGCAAGAATGAACCTTGAACCTGGTCTCCTCACTACCCTTCCCTGCCCAGGATGAGGACCCAGACACCCCAAAGCCTGTGAGTTTCACGGTGAAGGAGACAGTGTGCCCTAGGAAGACACAACGGCCTCCCGAGCAATGTGACTTCAAGGAGAATGGGGTGAGGCTGGGATCTGGGGGTGTTAGTGGTGCTTCCAAGAAAACTGAGCAAAAGGCTCCAGGGAACATTTCTAGTCACTGGGGTGGGGCGGCAGGGTATGGCAAAGGGATTTCTGTCTGACCTTGAGCATCCTTTTCCTAGCTGGTGAAGCAGTGTGTGGGGACAGTCACTCTGGACCAGACTAGGAACTCCTTTGACATCACCTGTGATAGGGTGAGTGGCCTGTTCCGGGCTGCAGGAGCTGATGGGGGTGGGCAGGATGTGGCGACACCCTATGGCCAATTAATTACTGCCCCACCCAGAACCGAGAAAGCCCCTCCTACTCCAGGCTTCTCCCTCAACCTGAACCTGAAGCCTCCAATCCCTCTAATTGCTCTTCAATGCCTTAAAGCAGTGGTTCTTAGACTGTAGCCCTCGCCTGGGAACCTGTTAGAAATGCAGATTCTGCAACCCCACTCAGACCAACTGAATCAGATTTTGGGGGTGGGGCCCAGCAATTTGTATTTTAATAAACACTCCAGGGAATTCGGAGTCCTGCTAAAGTTTGAGAACCACTACTTTGAGGAATGAGCTCTCAGTCCAGCTTTGCTGGGGATGGGTTGTGTGACCCTGGGAGGCCCTTGCCATCTCCAGGACTCAGTTTTCTCATCTGTTTATTGGGTGCAGAGATTCAACCACGTGCTCCAAAGGTCACAGCTGGAGGGTAAACTGGGGTTCCAAGGCTCCTGGCATGGCCCAGAAAGGGGGAAGTCTAGGTGGGAAGGGGCCTTGGCTTGACCCTGAGTCCAGCCCCCACAAGGAGCCTGTTTCCCCCTGGTGCACAGCCTCAGCGTGTCAAGAGATCTGGCAACTTGGGTAGACTCATTCGGAAAGGTGGAGAGAAGATTGGCAAAAAGATCGAGAGGGTTGGCCAGAGAATCAAGGAATTTTTTGAGAAACTTGCACCTACGACAGAGTCCTAGGGTCTGCCCTGCCCTGGCTCAGGCCTCTGGACTCTGAAAAATAAACTCTTATGAAAGCAACTTCCTCCAGGCTTCCGACTCACTTGTCTTGTCTCCTCTTACTCCCCACAAATGAGTCCTTAACTCTGGGAGGCCCTGTGTGTGGTGTGTGTGTGTGTATGAGACCGGGATGGGTGGGGGCAACTGTTCCATCCATGAGGGTATGGGCGGAGGTGGCAAGGATCCTTCCCATGTTCTTCACACACCTCCCCTCTCTCCTCAATTTGTGTGCAGTGGCAGGATGCCACGGAGCTGTTTCTGCTCACATGGTGGTAACAGTTGAGGAGACACCAGGCATTCTGTCGAACACTCCCAGAGACAGACGGGTCTGGTTGGGTTCTAAAGTCAGCCTGCTGGTGAAATTCCCATAAGGTCTCACTTGCCCTTGAAAAATTTAACTCTGGAAAAGCCCATCTCTCCTGGCTTTTCCTCTGGCATTGGGACACATCACTGTTTCTTCCCATGGGCAGCAGATTAAGTTGTGGGCTTGCGTTTAGGGTTCAAATGGTATGAAACTGTTTACCATTAAAAACAAGGATCCTGTTCAGCAGGGCGAGGAGCTCCAGCTAGGAGAGACACGCAGAGTGACACAGTCACGGCTCTGAGGCGCCAGGTGTTTCAGATGCTCTCCCTGTCCTGCCCATTCACCGTTCTGTAGCTGACTAAGCACCTGCGGCTGTTAGCTATGGGGCTGACTGGAAGTACTGAAGAGTTAGTGCTCAGGGTGCAGCTTTACCAACCATCGGTGGGAGTCGGTGGAAAAATGTCTTCCCTTCCTTGCCTCTCAGGCGAGCCAGTTCAGGGGTGTGTTACCATTCCCAGAGGCTCCCAGTGGGGTTGAGCCCCGGTTGCCCACAGCAATGTTCTGTTCATTAACATTTCCTCTCTTGACTTTTGTTTCTGCCCTGGCTCGCTTCTCTACACTCCTGCTGGTACTTTCTGTAATGACATCCTAAATAAACAACCTCCACTGGAATCCTTGTCTTCTTGTGGGCTAACCTAAACTAAGACAAAGACATCCCTCTCTGAGAGAAATGGAGGGCAGGATCTCACTTAGCATTTTTATCTTGTCATCTATCATGCTTGCTTCTTCTAGGGAGCAGGTGTGGCTGATTTCAGGCAGGTTAGAGGAGCCTAAGATGCTTCTCACTCTACATCAGAAGTTGAGATATGTTCTACAGAAGAAACCCAGGGGGCTGTGTTGTGCCAGAGTCAGAGGATACCAGCTTGCCAGAGATGATTGTTAAATTTTCAGGAATTTTTTGAGCTGGTTAAACTGTTGGTAGCTTGAAATCAGCCACAGTGGGAGTATTTACACCATGAAAATTGGCAAATGCTACAAATGAACTCCCCCACAGTGGTTATTAAAAATTTACTACCACACCACTGCACAGGGTGTATGGAACCCTCAGGGTAGAGGGGAGGGCAGGGAGGACTTTGAGGAGGAAGTGCCCTTGGGTGAAGGTTAGGTAGGAGCTAAATTGGCAAAGGAAGAAAGAGAAGGCAGTCCAGGAAGAGGAAAGGCATGGGTGGAGGCTAGAGGCATGAGGGAGCGCTTTGCTCCACAGGATGAGTGCTAAATGGGGGTAGGGATGATTGAAGGGCCTCGAGAGCAGGAAGTGGAGCATCAGGCAGGTGCACTAGAGGGGTGCCTTTTTTAGCTCCACTCTTTCTTTGTTGCGTTTGGTGAATACAGAGAGTAAGAACCAGCCTGGGCTCAAGGAACTCATGGAGATCAAGGACCAAGCCCATTTTGTGTTTGACTGACCATGTTCCATGTCTGGTACTGGTACGGCCACAGTGGCCTGGCATAAGCCTGACTCAGAGAGGGATCATTCACAAGGATAATAGGGGCCTATGCTGACCACACCTGTTTCCAATCTCCTCCCTGGGTTGCCAACCACAGCAAATGGAGTGTGTTGGGGTATGTGTATGTCAGGCTATGCATCTGAGATGAGTATATGTGGTGTGTGGCTGGGTGTGCATGTATGTAGAGGGGTTTGTGAATGTAGGGTGTGTGGGTGTGCAGGGGTGTACATGCATGTGTGGCAGTGTGTTTGCATGTAATGTATATAAATAAAAATTTTATATATTCCCTTTTATTCTATGAAATTATATTATGTGCATTAAAATATATTCAATGAGCATAAACAAAAATATTATTTTATTGACAAATTATTTTAGAGGGAAGTGTTCAGCTGTAGGAGGATCTTGGGAGAAAGAATTCTATATGAACAAAGGACTAGAAGGAAGTTATAAATAACAGGAAGGTAATGCTTATCCAGATACTGAATGTGGAGCTTTTAATTTTAAAAAAATTTTTTATTTGGCAATAATTTAAAACTTACAGAAAAGTTTTAAGAATAGTACAGAAAAATTCCCATTTTCTCTTTACACAGTCACCTGTTTTAACGTTTCATCCATTTGCTTCTTTATCTTCCTGCTCTTTCTCTTTTCCTCTCTCACACATCTATCTACACATTTTGTCTGATGGTAGGTTGCATACATTATGTTCCTTATCCCTTAATATTTCAGTGTAAATTTGCTAAGAACAAGGGCATGTACTTAAACACCACAATTCAGTTATCATATTCAAGAAATGTAACATTGAGGCCATACTTCTATCTACTGTAGATAAATTGAAAACCCTGGTGGCATAGTGGTTAAGAGTTTGACCACTAACCAAAAGCCTGGCAGTTCAAATCCACCATGCACTCCTTGGAAACCCTATGGCAGTTCTACTCTTTCCTATAGGGTCTCTATGAGTCCAAATTGACTTGATAGCATGAGGTTTATAGCAACATTTTCCCCATTAGAGGATCCAGTTTGTGGTATATATTGTATGAATCACTCCGCTTGTTGAACATTTTATGTACAATGGATGCTTCGTACAATGGATGCTGTACAGATGTCAGGCTGGTGTGGTAGGTCTGTGTTTATCCCTGGTAGGAGTCCGGGTGGTGAGGTGGTTAAAGTGCAGTGATTAAAGTCTCGTCGTCCTCACTGCTAAGGAGCATTCTGGCTGTACTTCTTCCAAGACAAATTTTTTTATTTTCTGGCAGTTCATGGTATATTCAATATCCTTCGCCAGCACCATAATTCAAAGGCATCAGTTCTTCTTCGTCCAGCTTTTACATGCATATGAGGCAATTGAAAATACCATGGCTTGGGGCAGGCATATCTTAGTCCTCAAAATGACATGTTTGCTTTTTAACATTTTAAAGAGGTCTTTTGCAGCAGATTTGCCCAATTCAATACATCATTTGATTTCTCGACTGCTGCTTCTATGAGCGTTGATTGTGGATCCAAGTAAAATAAAATCCTTAACAATGTCAATATTTTCTCTCTTTACCATGATGTTGCTTATTGGTCCAGTTGTGAGGATTTTTGTTTTCTTTATGTTGAGGTGTAATCCATACTGAAGGCTGTGGTCTGTGATCTTCATGAGGGGCAGTTCTACTCTGTCATAATAGGGTGAGTACGACTTGTAATCGACTCAATGGCACACACCAACAGGTTTTTATAAGAGAGGCCCTGGTGGTGCAAATTTTTAAGTGCTCAGCTGCTAACTGGAAAGTTGGCGGTTTGAACACACCTAGCTCTCCATGGGAGAAAGTCCTGGTGATCAGCTTCGAAGAGTATAACCAAGAAAACCCTGTGGGGCAGTTCTCTGTCACCTGTGGTGGCTATACTTCGCAATCGAGCTGATGGCCCCTAACAAGAGGGTTTTACAAAAAGTTACCCTTGTATTTTAGAATAACCCAGATTCTTAATATGATACTTGATTTAATTTATTTTAGTTACAGCCTACAACTTTTTTTTCCTTTAAAAAAAAAAACAGCTTTATTGAGGTATAATTTGCATATAATACGATTCACCGATTTTTTGTGTCCAGTTAGTTTTGACAAGGATATAATCATGTAACAACTATCACAATAAAGACAGAGAATGTATCTATCATCTCAGCAAGTCCCCTCAGGCCTCTTTGTTGCCAACCTCTTCTCCCAACTCCTGGAAACCATTGGTCTACTTTCTGACATTATTATTTTGTCTTTTTCAGTATTTTGTATAAATGGAATCATACAGCATGTAGTCTTTGGGTCTAAATCCTTTCCCTTGGCCTAATACCTTTGAGATTCATCCTTTTTATTGCTGAGTATTTATTATTCCATTATATGGACATACCACAAATTATTTACACATTTGCCAGGTGATGGACATTTGGGTTGTTTCCAATTTTTGCCATTATGAATAAAGCTGCCATGAACATTTGTGTGCAAGTGTTTGTGTGGATATTTGGTTTCATTTCTCTTGCTAAATACCTAGGAATGTTATATGGTACGTGTGTGCTTAATTACATAAGAAAAAGCCAAATTGCTTTTCAAGGTGACTGTACCATTTCACATTCCCATCAACAATATACGAGATCTCATTGTCCCACACCCTTGCCAACACTTGTTATGGTCATTTATTTTAATTTTAGCCTTTTAGTGGGAGTATAGTAACATCTCACTGTGGTTGTGATTTGCATTTCGCTGATGACTCATGATGTTCGTCTTAGTTTCCTAGTGTAGGTGGCTTTAAAGAACAGATACTTATTTTCTCACAGTTCTGGAGGCTAAAGTCCAAATTAGGATCTTGGCTATGTTAATTTCTTCCTTCTCACTAGCCTAGGGTGTTCCTTGGTTCCTTGTCGATCCACACGAGGCATCTGTCTTCCCCAGTGTGTGCATATCTCTGTGTCTAATCTGCTTAGTGATTAGATTTAGAACCTGCCCTATTTGGGTATTCTGTAATTAACATAACAAAGAAAACCCAGTTTCCAAATGGGATTACATCCATAGGTATAGGGTTAGGATTCCAACACATGTTTTTTGGGGACACAATATAATCCATAACAGTATTGAACATTTTTTCTTATTCTTCACTGCCATTCATAGATCTTATTTCATGAAGTGTCTGCTCAAATCTTGTTCCCATTAATACAATCTTGTTAATAAA